TGATGTGGAAAAACAAGAGGTGCGATTAGGAATAACAATTCATTAGCATAATGACATATCTGGGGCGCTTTTGCATATTGCTCACCAAGAAAAATAAAAAGAGAAAAATCCACCAGCCTGATTAAATGACATACCTTAGCTTTAAGTCATACACTTCCTGAATATTTCTCAGTATTTTCCCCTTTTTTTGCGCTTTATTATTGCAAAGCAAAGTTTGGTTTTTTTTATAACTGACATTTTCAAACAATTAAGTAATGTGCATGGTCTGTAAGCCCCGCTCACCAGAGGGGAAGAAAGATTTGTTGCAACTATGCGTTCCTTTCAAGATCTTAAAATATCTAAAGATGTACTTAAGAGATATCCTTGTCTTTGAAGGTGAAAGAGACAATTGAAACTGGGGGATATCCTTATGACTTGTACTACCTTCCCTGGTTAGAGGAGGTCTGGGTTCACGCGTGGACGAGCTCTACGTTTGACGTCATCAGTACCGCGGGAAGTCTTAGGAAGACACATACCGCCATTAAAGCGCATGTGCAACCGGGTAAGTACCACGAAGACGTAGATATAACATCGTAAAAAACAATATGAAATAATGTTCTCTTGTATCAAATCATTGTTAATTAATGAACACAACGGCATTTTCATCGTTTTTTCTTTCTTTTTTTCCTGATGATTACAGAATTTAAAAAGTACATCACAATAGATAGTTCTAAGTCTAACCATGTAAAGAGATCCATCCCATCCAATAAGAGATGCTTGGACCCAAATCCCATAATGCTTCAGAAACCTCTATGAGCTCTTGCAGGACAAGCTACCAAGCTCTTGCGGATTCAACTGATCGTGACCCAGTTCTTTCCTATTATTAGGGACTTAAAGAAAATCACGACAGCGATGGCAGTGAGAACCTGGCAAAAAAGCTAATGAGTAGAAAAATAGCACACAGAGTTTGTACATTTCTTTACGTCCTCTTGGCAAGGAAATTTCGACAGCAATTAAGTCTCGTTTTTACTTTGAAATTATCACTACATCCACATGTTATGCTGCAAGGAAGATATCGCACCATCATCTTGCAGAACAAGCCACCAAGCTCGGATTCAACTGATCGTGACCCAGTTCTTTCACATTATTAGGGACTTTAAGAAAATCACGACAGTGACGGCAACGAGAACATGGCGAAACAAAAAATCTAATGAGCAAAACAATAGCACGGCACGTGCGTTTTAAAAAGTTTATACACTACGTCCTTTTGGCAAGGAAATTTCGACAGCAATTTAGTCTCGTTTTTACTTTGAAATTAACACTACATCCATATGTTATGCTACAAGGAAGATATCGCACCATCAAAAACGGTTAACGCATCGAGCTACCGGGAAAACTCTAAGGGGATGAAAGAAGGTCTGTTTTTTCGGAAACCTTTTCCTACACGTTGCTATAATGAAATGTTACACTCTCCATTAAATCGTTCTTCACTCATTCTCATAGGCTGGACACATGGTTACATGTACGCAGACCAGCAAATAGCGGATGGAAACTTAGGCTACGTAACACATATGTTCAACCCAGGTATTCATCAACTCGACTTGTCATCTAAGACATACAAAGACTTCGTGAATGTATCAAACTATGGCTGTAGAGGAACTTTTAACTTTGCGTACAGCCCGGTCAACAAGCACGGCTTTTTTGACTGCAGGGGATCCAAGACACTCCTGGAGCTTGACATAGCTACTGATCAAGTTGTCCGAAGCTATAATTTCACAGGACGTCCCTACGCTTCTAAATACGGCCGGTACATTGTAACCCTTTACAAATCCGTCAACGAATCAATCAACCTTCTCCTCACCAGTGAAGTGGTCATTCTTGTCGTTTCTGGTAAGGACAGCGCTCCAATTCAAAAACCCACTGTGAAAATCCCTGGAGGTGTCAGTCGACTAGTGTTCGACCCCAAGATTCTCTCTGTTGCTTACATCAGCCTCGTGTACCTTGATAAGATTGCAGTGTTGGATCTGGATTCTCTTCGAGTGAGCTACATTGATGGGGTCGGGAGTGTGCTGACGGCACCTGGTATGCATTCTGTGAGCCGTTCTCTGGTCGTAGCAGGGCCTTGGATGGTAACACCAGCCACAGCTAATAATTCCGTCGCCGTAATCAACATAGCCAACCGTGAGCTAGAGGGCATGGTGCAAGGGGTCGTCCAAGGCTTGCGCATGATTGCCGTGCGTCAAAAAGTTCCTGGTCCTTTAAACACTGCAGAGTTTATTTATTTTTCACCCCTTAAGCTGATTATTACCTTACTATTTGCTTTACAAGTAACCGTTGGGTAAACCAACAATTTTTCATAACACCTTGGTAGTATTATGAAGGCCCGACCAAACGCACGCAACATTTCAATGCAACATCTTGCAACATTGTAGGATCGTGTTATTGGATATTGTGAAGGAACTGGCTAGCGCATGCAGCATCTTGCAACATTGTAGGATCGTGTTATTGGATATTGTGAAGGAACTGGCTAGCGCACGCAACATCTTGCAACATCCAAAAATGTTGCAACAAAAACTAGACCATTTCAAGCTTTATCCAACACCAAATTGCTCCATGTTACTACAGGGTGGCCGAACACATGCAACACATTGCACATAACAAAGTTGCAAAATGTTGCGTTGAGATGTTGCGTGCATTTGACCTTGCCTTTAATGGATAGAAAATGCAGAAACCGCTGTCAGTTTAACGACAGAAAAGTGCACTTCGTAAAGATTTTTTTTGCTTACTACTAGAATTGATTGAGTCGCAGAGCCAAATTTATATTTCAGAGGACCACGTGTGCATTGTACCTGATCTTAAATCCGTTCAAAAGAACATAACTCGCCTCGTTCTCGACTGACTTGAAGAGAACCAGTGAATTATTCCAAGAGTAACCCCTCTGGAAATGTAATTCTGTGCATCAACAAAGTTTTGGTCGAAAAAGAAGTGTTTGTAGTATTCAGAATGTTATGTACGAATTGCTTCCGATTGTAATACAGGTCAATGGAGTTACAAATCTGCCTGAAGCACTCTTCGATTGATTTTCGTAAAACCAAAACCAAACGGACAGCTTTTGCAAACGAGGAATTAATGTACTTAGCAGAAAGCGGCTCACTCAAGCTTTAAACTGTTGAGGGTGAAGTGGAATTTTGCAATGAGTAAGTGCATTACAAAATGGAAATGCTGGGACTTCAAGTCACGAGAGGAAAGCAGCTTCTTTGTGTAAGGGAGATAAAAGAGTTTAAGGCGACTCAGAGCGTGAATAGTTCCTTTTTGATGAATTAATACATTCTCGATTTTTGTAATAAATCGTTTGATTGAGTAATTTCATCCAGATAATATCCAGTCATCGATTGTTGCATCGGATTATTTGATTGAGCAGTTTAGCTCGACTGACGTGCAGTCCTTAATTCTACAGCAGGCTGTGAACTGTTTGAATTAATCAACACTATTTCAATACCTGACCTTCCACTGTACGTTTTGCGATAGTAAATATGTTGTTGGCAGAAAGTTTCTGTTGAGCAACTTCTATAACGAACCTAGACTTTTACAGCATAAAGCACATAAAAACAATGATTTCAAGATTGTGTTTTGAATAAAAATTGCACTTTTAATTCCTAAAAAGAATATTGCAATGTTACTAGTCATTGAAAGGTTCAGTTGTACTTCAGTCGGTAATACTAAAAAGAGGTTGTATTCTGTGACTACAGCACATTGTTATTAGCCTCCAGGTACATCGTGATCGCCTTAAAGGGAGCTTTGAGCATAACGATACTTGTTTTAGAGAA